AGAGCAGGGTTTAGGGCTGTTGTGCATAGGGTCGCTATGAGTCGGAAACGACTCGACGGCACATAACAACAACAACAACATATTTGATTTATTAATTTATTAATATTTATAACCTTTTCTTTTCCCTGCCCTGCTAATGATCCAAAATTATTTTTATATGGAAATGAACCTTTTCTTATATTTCTTTAACAGTGGTCTTATAACTTAAGGAGTCTCTGGTGGCTTTGTGGTAAAACACTGCACTGCAATCCCAAAAGTACATGGTTAGAATCCACCAGCTGCTGTAGGGGTAAAAGGATGGGCAATCTCCTCCTGAGGGATTAGCTGCTATGGATCAGTTCCACCTTGAAGGCACACAATAACAAAAAAAAATTTAACAGTCCTTTTCAAAGGAATTATTTTGCTTAGATGCATTATTTTCCTCTAGATGCATCCTGTCAGGCATTGTTTTAGGCTGTACTTTTTTGATGGTGTTGCTGATTTATTTCTTCTATCTGTGTTGAGTCATTCTGTTTATGACTTTTTTTCCTTCATTGTTGTTGTTTTAGTGCTTTCTAAGTTTTTACGATTTTCTTCTTTTTTATTTTGATGGTTTACTAATCTTCTTGAAGGTTATCCTGTAAGTTACTATTTTATTCTCAAGTCTAAAACAGTTTATCTTGAAATTTCTCTCCATTTGGAAGTGCTGTGAGTATGCTTCTTATTCTCTTTTTACTTTGTATTTGTCATCATTTATGACTTGATACCTCTTCTATTTTTTGCCCTGATGTTTCTCATACTTTGTGTATTTCTGTGTTTGGGTCAGTTTCTGAATAATGTTCTTATATGTGCTAATTTTAGATTTTTGTCTGCAGTAGATGCCTATCAGTCCAACAACTTCCTTAAGGATTTATTTAGGGTTGCTCTCGTTTTCCCAAATTCCCTTCTTTTCTGCTATGGTTGCACAACTTAAGAAATGCACTGTCATTGAATAGTACATATAGAAACTGTTAAGTTTATGCATATTCTGCTGTACACATTACCAAAAACACCCCCACAGAAATTCATCCTAATTAGTCAGTGAAAGGTATGTTCAGGTAGATAAACCAGGTGAAGGTGATTTTAAAACAAATTACAACAAACAGAGTAACTAGTGACAGCAACAAAAAGATTTTCCTTGTACCTACTTACCATCACCTTTCGTAAAGTGTATCTTCGGGATCGAATGTCATCCATTAGCATTTCATAAGGGGTGAGCTGATATTCAATGGGAAGAGGATTATATTGTCGTTCCTGAACCTTCTTAAGTTTTACTCCATTCCGCAAATCCCTCATGACCTGTACCCAGAATCGAGCCTGAAAGAATCAAGGATAGAGAGATATCAATGAATAATTGGCTGATTTCCTCTAAATAACCATCAACTCAATTCACTGCTGCTGAGTTAGAACCAGCTCAGCATTGACCCTCAGTAGATTTTCTGAGGCTGTACGGCACAGGAGATTGCTTATCTATCTCACTTGAAGCATTTTGTCAGAGAGGTGTGGCCTTGAGGATAGTAGCATAACACACTACAGACTACAACACCAGAACTCCTTAAATAAGCATCCTGTTTATCATTGAGTCAGAAATGACATATAGCTGACGCTCCAGCAAGTTTTCATAGGCAGTAAATATGGGAGAAGGAGACCACCCACCTTTCTCCCGCAGAGCAGCTGATACATTCAGAGTGCATAATCTTGCATTGGCAGTACAGTTCCTTACCACTAAGACACAAAAGCTGCCTAGAGAACTGGACATACAAATAAATGATGAGCTCAGATTATTAAAAAACAAAACAAAACAAAACAAAAACCAAGAACAACTTAGATTTTAGGATACCAAAACAAAAATGGAAAGGAAATTGAGAATCCATAGGGCTTCATTTTCTATTCTAGCTCTTCCACTAGGGAACTCAGGTGGTCTATCGAGTAAGGCATTCTACTGCTAGCCTAAAGGCAGGTCATTTGAATCCACCATCCACTCTGTGAGAGAAAAATGGACAATCTCCTCCAGAGGGATTTATGCCTCTGAAAATCTTCTAGAGGATCAGTTATGAGTTGCTTCTGACTTAAAGGAGATGAATTTGCAGTTTTGTTTTTTTCTCCTTCCACTGGGGAAGATTTTGTAATGGCACTTGTTTTTCACACTTTCTGCTATGTGACTTTGCTCACTAAATATTTCTGACAGCTGTACGTTGAGTTTGGCTAAATTATTTGCTTTGGCACTACAAGAGCCGTGTGTATGCACAACTGAAGTTTCTGAAGCAATTCACAACTGAGCTTGCTCCCTTAGCTCCTGTTACCACTATAAGAACAGGCCTGGGCCAGTTGGCTATTCCCAGGACAAAAGATGTGGAGAGCAAAGTAATCAGCAGACTGATGAATGAAATAAATGCACATTGTTGCATACTACTGTAGATTTGTAGAACAACATTTCAGGGGCCATAGTTAATGGATACAACCATGTACTAGCTACCTACTCCACATCCAGTAATTTGGTACTTTATAATTTGTTAAGATAACAGAATGAATATAGACTATTATGAACAAATTCAATCCTTGAGTTGCTATACTTAATGATGCTTTGGGCAGAATATTAAATGATCCAGGAAGCAACAAAAGAAGATGGAAAGAGTATACAGAGTCACTGTACCAAAAGGAATTGGTGGACACAAAAGGATTTCATGAAACAGCCTGTGGTGATGAAGGAAGACGTGCAAGCTGCTGAAAGATTAGCAAAAAACAAGGCCCCAGGAATTGATGGCATACAAACTGACATATTTCAACAACAGACACTGCTCTGAATGTGCTCACCAAGCTGTGTCAAGAAATCTGGAGGATAACCATCTGGATAACTGACTGGAAGAGATATATATTTGTTCCCTTTCCAAAGAAAGGTGACCTGACAGAGTGCAGAAATTATTGAACAATATCATTAATATCACATGCAAGCAAGATTCTGATGAAAGTTTTCAAAAAATGACTGGACCAGCACATCAATAGAGAACTGCCAGATGTGCAGGCTGGGTTTAGGGGAGACCGTGATAATAGGGATATTATAGCTATTGTTGGACGGATCTTGGCTGAAAGTAGAGAGTACAAGAAGAATGTTTATCTTTGTTTCATTGACTGTGCAAAGGCATTTGACTGTGTGGATCATAACAAATCGTGGCTAACTCTGAGAAGAATGGGAATACCAGAACACTTGATCATGCTTATGCAAAATTTATACATGGACCAGGAGGCAGTGGTCAAACAGAGCAAGGAAATACTGCATGGTTAAAAACTGGGAAGGGTGTATGCGAGTGATAAGCCCTTATCTCAGTCTTTTTAATCTATATGCAGACAGATCATCTGGGAGGGGAGGCTCTGTGAGGAGAAATATGGCATCAGGACTGGCAGAAGACTCATTAACAGTCTGCATTATGCAGATGATACAACCAACCCTGCTTGTTGAAACTGAGGAGGACCTGAAATGTTTGCTGCAGAAGACCAAGGACTGCAGCCTTCAATATAGATTGAAGCTCAATTGCAATATGGATTGAAGCTCAATAGCAAGAAAACAAAGATTCTCACCACTGGGCCAATTGGGAGCATCATGATAGAGGGTAAAGAGAGGAGATTAACAGCTTTAGTTTCCTTGGCTCCAAAATCAACACTCTTAGTACCAACAGCCAGGAAATTAAAAGATGAATTGCATTGGGAAAGTCTGCTGTCAGAGACCTCTCCAAAGTAGAGCAATGATGTCAGTCGGGAGACTAAGCTGCACCTGATGCAGGCCATGGTCTTTGCAATTACTTGCTATGCATCAGAAATCTGGACAATGACTAGGGAGGATAGAAGGAGAATTGATGCCTTTGAGCTATGGTGCTGGAGAAGAGTATTGAATACTGCTAGGAGAACAAACAGGTTTGTCCTAAAGCAGGTGAGACCAAACTGCTCCTTGGAGGGAAGGATTATGAAGCTTCGTCTGACAAACATATTGCAAGGAGAGAGAGGGACATCATGCTTGGAAGGGTGGTGGGACAGCGCAGGAAAGGAAGACCCTCAATGAGATGGATTGATTCAATGACTAGGGTAACCGAGGTAGTGTATCAGAGACATAAGGTTGACACAGTAGAGAGCTGGATTTAAGACTGTTTTACATAGGGTTGCTATGAGTTGCAGGCAATTCAACGGCACATAACAACAGCATCATCATTATGTTTTCAGAAAAACATTGAAATATGTCAATGTTGTACTTCTCTTTGACCAAATAATTTTATTTCATGTTTCTTATTTTTAAATAGCCTACAAACCAACCCACCCAGTTTCTTTGGTCAAATAACAGACAAAACTATAAAGTGAACAAAAGAATCAGTGAGGGATGCACTCCTCAGGGCATCTAACCATTTCAGACGAATGACAAGGCTTCTACATTTTGTTGGATCACTTTTCTTCAGAATGGGAACTAACATGGATCTCTTTCTGTCAGATGCTCAGGTAGCTATCTTCCCATTAATTCTCTTGAATGAAGAGTGAGTGAGTGAGTGAGTGAGTGAGCTGCAGTGAAGGGAGTGAGTGTGTCCATCATGGCATCTATTCACTGAAATATCCCAATTAGCATTCCATCAATTTCTGAAGCCTCATTACTTTTCCCTAATGCCTTAAACACAGCTGGGATTTCTTCATTCAGTATCAGAGATACTTTATCATACTCAATTTTCTGTAGTAGTCAAACATAAACCAATTATTTTTGGCAACACAACTGCCAATTTCAGCCATCTCCCTTTGCCACCCCTTTAACATATTTTTTTAAAAATATGCTGCATTGAAAAACAAGGAACTCATGCAATATTATTCAAAATGGGTGACCCTGGAGGACATTATGCTGAGTGAAATATCTCAGTCACAAAAGGACAAATACTGCATAGTGCCACTGTTGTAGAATGAGGCTGACATCATGGTCGGGGTAAGACAGAGAAAAACTGGATAAATTATGTATATTGCATTGAAGGTGATGAGGAAGAGAACAGTTTAAAAGTAATATATTTTAGGGCATTATGATTATAAGAGTTCAGAATGAGGGTTGCAGAGTGGAGTATATTCGGGGTGGAGGTGGGGGTGGTGGGGTGCAGGGGTATTGTATACCAATGAAGGAGTTTTTTCTTTTGCTTTTCAAGGAGAAGAGCAAACTGGGGGTTGGGAGTGGGGTGGGCGGGGAGAAAAGTGCAACAATGAATGAATGGAAATTCAAAATCTCTGTAAATGTTCATTGAAATTAATAAAAAATGATAAAAAATTAATATATGATTTGATAAAACTTTACAAATAAAAAGATGTTCATTCGACAATTTACAGGCTTTGTTCTAGAACATTAATTACGAGTCTCATTACTCTTTCTTTACCTCTCTGTGCCTTTTCACTTTTTAGAGATATTGTGTGTGCTGATGATCCCTTATTATCTATTTCCTTTTGTTCACCCACCTTAAAATGTGTCATTTATCTAATTACTAATTTTTTTCTCCCCTCTCATTCCTTTTCCACAACACATTAGGAGAGAACTGCCAGAAGTCCAGGCTGGGTTTAGAAGGGGTTGTGGTACTACAGCTACTGTAGCTAATGTTAGATGGATCTTAGCTGAAAGCAGGGAATACCAGAGGAAGGTATATCTGTGTTTCTTTGACTATGCAAAGGCATTTGACTGTGTGGATCATAACAAACTGTGGCTGACTCTGAGAAGAATGAGAATCCAGAACACTTGATCGTGCTAACGAAAAACCTATACTTGGACCAAGAGGCAGTCATCAGAAAAGAGCAAGGAAACACTGCATGGTTCAAAATTGGGATGGGCGTACGCCAGGGATGTGTCCTATCTCCATACCTTTTCAACCTGTATGCAGAGCAGATTATCCGATAGCCTGGCCTCTATGAGGAGAAGTGTGGCGTTAGGATTGGTGGAAGACCTATCAACAATCTGCGTTATGCACATGACACAACCCTGCTTGCTGAAACTGAGGAGGATCTGAAGCACTTGCTGCAGAGGGTCAAGGACTAGCCTCCAATATGGATTGAGGCTCAATGTCAAGAAGACAAAGATTCTCACCACTGGGCCAATTGGCAGCATCAGGATGGATGGTGAAGAGATTGAGATTGTTCACAGCTTCAGTTTGCTTGGCTCCACAGTCAACACTTCTCAGCACCAGCAGCCAGGAAATTAGAAGACGTATTACCATGGAAAGTCTGCTGTTAGGGACCTCTCTAAAGTACTAAAGAGCAATGGTGTCTCTTGGCCATGGTCTTTGCTATCACTTGTTATGCCTCAGAGAGTTGAACAA